CCAGCAGGCATTTCTGGAATAAAAAGAGGGAATATCTGAAAGACAAAATTGATGAGCTTGCAATGAACAGTAAGAATAAGAACATTAGAGACCTGTATAGAGGAATAAATGACTTTACCAGCCTAGCAGTAAATTAGTGAAGGATGAGAATGGTGATCTGCTTACAGATTCCCACAACATTTTGAATAGGTGAAGGAACTACTTCTCTCAGTTATTGAATGTACATAGGGTCAGTGATGTTAGGCAGACAGAAATCCATACAGCTGAGCCGTTAGTACCTGATCCTAGCCCTTTTGAGGTTTAAAGTGCTATTGCAAAATTGAAATGGTATAAATCGCCAGGTAGTGATCAAATTCCGGCAGAACTTATTCAAGCAGGAGACGAAATATTACGTTCTAAGATCCACAATCTAATTACTTCTATGTGCCATAAGGAAAAATTGCCTAATCAGTGGAAGGAGTCTATTGTACCAGTTCACAAGAATGGTGATAAGACTGACTGTAGTAATTATCAGGGGATATCACTGCTATCAACTTCATATAGAATTTTGTCCAATATTCTTCTTTCAAGGTTAAGTCCATATATAGATGAAATTATTGGGGATTATCGGTGTGGGTTTCCATGTAACAGATCAACTACAGATCAGATCTTTTGCATTCGTCAGATATTGGAGAAAAAATGGGAGTACAATGAGACAGTACACCAGCTATTCATAGACTTCAAGAAAGCCTATGATTCAGTTAGGAGGGAAGTATTGTACAATATTCTAATAGAGTTTGGGATACCCATGAAACTAGTTAGGTTAATTAAAATGTGTTGAAACGAAATGTATATTAAAGTCCATATAAGTAAACATTTGTCTGATAAATTTCCTATCCAGAATGGTCTAAAACTAGGAGATGCTCAGTCGCCACTCCTTTTCAACTTTGCCTCAGAATATGCAATTAGGAAGGTCCAGGGAAACCAGGTGGGACTGAAATTAAACGGGACACATCAGCTGTTGGTCTATGCCGATGATGTGAATCTACTGTATGATAATGTAGATACCATAAAGACAAACACACACACTTTAATTGACACAAGTAATGAGGTTGGTATAGAAGTAAACACAGAGAAAACTAAGTATATGTTACTATCTCATCACCAAAATGCAGGACAAAATCATGACATAAAGATAGGAAACAGATGTTTTGAAAATGTGGCACAGTTCAGATATTTGGGAACGTTGATAACAGATCGAAACATGATTCAGGAGGAAATTAAGAGGCGATTGAACTCGGGTAATGCTTGCTACCATTCAGTCCAGAACCTTTTGTCTTCTCTTCTGTTGTCCAAAAACGTAAAAGTTAGTATACAAGGTGTGGCAATAAAGAAACCAGATTCATGCTCTAACCCTTTATTAAAAAAAAATCAGACAGTCGAAATGTTATCCCCTTCAATGTAGTCCCCTCCCCGATCCCTACACCGCTCCATGCGAATTTTCCACTGTTGGAAGCAGTGCTGCAGGTCATCTTGTGTTATGCTCTTCAAGAGTTGCGTCGCTTTTGCTTTCACTGCATCCACGGACTCGAACCTGGTCCCTTTCAGCGCAGACTTGATTTTTGGGAAGAGAAAAAAGTCGCACGGTGCTAGGTCCGGAGAATACGGTGGATGTTCCATCACTGGAATGTTGTTTTTTGCCAAATACCTCTTCACAGATAGCGCGTT